GGACCATTTCTCGATTTATGCGTGTCATCCTTGCGCAGGGGCCATGCTAATCTTCTCTGTATCGTTCCAATTTTAACGGATGTCCCGAAGGACCAGCCTTGCACTCTCTAGTTTTTTCTCATTTGACTTTTCTGGGGGTGCGGTGGCATTCATATCGATTGTGTAAAATAATACACAAACAACTTCGTTCAGAACGGTCAAACTTATTCCTCTTCTGTCGCAGAGCTGAAGTTACTGAGTGGCTTTTAACACTACTATTGAATTAGGAACTTCCAGTGAGCTGCTGACTCAACGGTCTCAACCATTCATCCTTTCTGCATATATACTCGCGTTCTGTCTCAAGCTGGTCTTGTGCAATATCATGCCAATATGTTTCGCTATGAGTTTTGGTCTCAACCTGGTCAGAGTAAGAGACTGTCAGACCATCCGAACATTTCTCGTTTCTATACTCTAGTCCAGGATTATGCAGGGTCCTTGTCATGCAGGAGAATGCATACAGGCCTTTTTGTCTCAGGCAGTTGTATCGGCACGTCCATGCTTAAGCATGGCGGCATTGGAAGAATTTGAACTTGGGAGTCGGGACAGAACCAGCATCTGTGGCCCTGTCTTTCGATTGGTATGTCGCAAAACCACAGAAAAGATTACAAGAAGGAAAGTGAGTGAACGTATTATCATGGAATGAATGACAGACAATTGCAAAAAGGGTTTGAGGAGAGTGAAGTTGCACTGACATACATAAAGAACTCTTTTGGTGATCTTCTCATGATGATGTCCTGGGTTCTTTGTTCTCCTTCTCCTCCTCCTCCTCCTCGTCGCCTCCTCGTCCTTCGTCTTTTAAGGAGTCCAGAGTTCCATTCGTCCTGCGTGCTTCTGATTGTTTCTTAGAGTCAAAAATTGTTCTTTGATTTGTTCAGGATGTCTGTTCTGCCCTGACAGATGTTGAGGTGGCCCTGGGTCTGAACCTGAAGGTCGTTGAGGGATCCAAACATCTCGTTGTTCCCTGTTCGGCACATGCGACCTGTCCAACGGTAAATGACACACTTTTCTCTGCTTTTCTTTACGCTCTTATCTCTTTGGTGGGTGGTCAGCACATACGAACACTGCAACAGTAAAATAACAAAGTTTGACCAGTTCACCAGTAAATGAAAAACGTTTTATCCATTTGTGTGTTTACACTTTTGTATTGCTGTCCCCCCCCTTTTTGGCCCATGTGCTGAATGCAACAATAAAAAATGGCATATCGTTGTGTTCCTTTTCGGCACATACAAACAATCAATGCAATAATATTATAATAGTAAATGGCTTAACTTTGACCAGGCTAATGGTAGATGACAAACTTTTGCCCACTTTTCTTTACCTTCCCATATCTCTGTTCCCTGTTGACACATGCGACACGGTGTGGGGGCAAAGGAGAAATTCCAACCTGTGCAATGGCGGTTGAAAAATTTTCTCCTCTTTTTCCTTACCCTCTCCTACAGTGTTGCACACCCCGACCATCGGCGACCCTTTGACTGGTCAGCTGCCAACCTGCCGACCGGTCGGTTGGTCGGCACCTACCGATCGGGGGTCGTCGGCACCCCGAAAAAATAAAAATAAAAAATAAAATAAAATAAAAAAGAACCCCTCATAACCCCACCGACACCCCCATACCCACCCCAAATACCCTCATACACCCCCCCAACACCCCCAAACC